GACCAGCCCTTTGTACCAGGGTCGAATTCTTCCTCTTGGGAGCCTTCCCTGAGTCCTGCGCCTCAGGGGGTCAGTGAGCAACTGTCCTCTCTCTCCTTCCTCCTCAGTCCAGATAGGATGGGGGTGTCGACAGAGCAGGGAGGTGGCAGAAATAAGAAAGAAAAAGGGTGGAGAGGATGGGACTTTCTGGTGGCTCTAGTCCTCTGTCTCGGGTGAGTTTCAGATGGGCATTTGCCTGCGGGTCCTGCCACACTCTAGGATTTGAAACTGGGGAACAAAGTCATGAAGAGACCGAGTTGGGGGAGTCCACTTTTGGGAGACTCCTGCCTGGAACCCAGCCCCCTATGTCCTGCTGGGCTGGGACTCTTCCTCGACTTGTTCACCTGAGCTCAGGGCCTTTTTCAAGAGCAATGCTTTGTTTTTGTTGGGGGGTTGGGGGTTGGCAGTGGAGCAGGTGAGCACCCACAGGCTGACCAGAGAGGGAGGTAGAGGTGCCAGAAAAGACTTTTGTTGTCCTTGGAACCTCCCACGAGGCCATGAAGGAAGAACCTGGGAAAGTGGTGGGGGCAAGGTGTATGTGAATGAAACTGGGAAGAGAGATCTGGGGCCCCAAGAGACCCCAGCACCCCAACATGAGCTGCTGAGACACTGGGCTGGCCTGGCCAGGATTCCGCCCTCCCACGTTGCAGCAGAATGGGGACTGTCCTTGCAGTTTGAGGCTGTCAGGCTGCTAGCCAAGCTCTGGGTATTTGTCTGAGTGGTGTTGAACTTTTACCTTTGACAGAAGGGGACACAGGCTTAGGTACCACCCCGCTACAAACCCTCAGAGCCTGTCACCACTGCCTTTCTCACAAAGGGTCTCAGGGACTGGGTCCTGGTCTCCTAGGCCTATATGATGGTGAGTCAGTCAGTTTTGATACCTACTGGGGTCTGAGACCCAGAAGTGGTGTGCAGACATCACTGACTGCAGAGGGACGTCTGAGCTGGGAGTCAGTAGACCCTGGATTGTCAAATTTGGGGCAGGAGGTTCTCTTGCTTATTCTAAGCTGCAGTTTTCCCTAGGCGGTCTTCTGGATTGGGATCCTTAGACCCTTCCTTGAGGTGGGGGTTAGCCCCACACAGGGGCTGCCCCTGAAGGGAGAGGTTCCTGTACCCACTGCGGGTAACATCTGGGAGTCCTTGGTCTTAATTCAGAGCCACATATTCTCTCTCTTACTTTTGTCCTTCAAACCGGGAGATAAGCTTGCCCCATTTCCCTTGTCCCATTTCCCGGGGTAGTAAACTGAGGCTTGAGCGGTCCAGGCTCGCTCAGGGTGAGCTAGCAATTTGTAACCACAGAGCTCGGGGCGTTGCATCCCTGCCCGGTCCTCCCTTGCCCGACCCCCAGCTCCGCGGCACTTCTCGGAAGTGGTAATGGGAGGAGCGGGGAGCTAGTGAGGGGGATGACCGCTAGTAACCCCGGCGGACGCTGGCGCCGAGCGGGTTAAAGGCGGACGCCCGCGAGTAACCCCGGCCCCATTCAGCGCCGTGGGGTGAAACCCGAGCCCAGCCGCCGTCGGGGTGGGGCGGGGCCCTAGTGAGGCGGCGGCACTGCTGCTGATTGGTCGCTCGCGCTCACCCCATGCCCGGCCCGCGGCCCCGAGGAGGGCGGGACTGGGGGCGGGGCCTCTTTTGGGGGCGGGGCCTGAGGGCCGGTCGGGGCGGGGCTCTCTGAAGCTCTCAGCCGGCTTTAAAACTCCGCCGAGCCTTGACAGGTGAAGTCGTCGCGGGGACGCGGTCAGAGCCAACCGCCTGGACGCCCCGAGGGGGCGGGGGGCGCGCAATAAGGAGCCATGGATTGCACATTCGAAGGTATTTGTTGGAAGACCTCCGTTTCCTTTATCACATTGCCTCTGGCCTCCGCTGCCGGTCACCGTCTCGGGTTCTCACAGAGGGGGCGTGGAGGCCCCTTCCTCAGGGAGAGGGCGCACCAGTTCCCGGCTCACCGGGGGAAGATGGTAGACCACCCTCCAACCCCGTGAGTCCCCTCTGCAGCCCGAGGAGTGGGTTTGCTCAGAGATGCAACAGCAGGACGGTTACACTAATGGGGTTTAAGTGGCTTTCCCCGTATCTCCTTCTCCGGGCAGGGTCAGGAAGAGGCAAGCGGTAGGGCCAGTTGTCTTGTCTGCCAGGCAGTCCCACTATAAAAGCAAATGCTGTCTGTCCAGACTTCTTCCTCCTCATATAGACTTGTTGGGTCGCCCTGCTTCTTGTGAGGAGTAGAAAGTGGGAGTCCTGGACTGTCTACGATTGTCAATTTCTATTTGGGGAGACTGTTTCCCCCATTTATAAAGAGGGTCTCACCTGAAGTGGGCTGAGGAGGGGGAGTCCTGCAATGAGAAGTACGGTAGGACTTTATGATCTGCATAAATCTGAAGGGCCCACAAAGTGTTTCTTTTTGAGGATCCAGGGAAGCTGAGTCTGCCATGCCCTCTTTCTCTGTTGATGGCCTTAGACAGGTTCCCTCTTGGAGTGATGTTCTTGCCTTGGCATCTGTGGGTAGACAATGTTGTCTCCACTCTGCTGAGCAAAGCTTCAGGCAGTGTTGCCAAAAAGGGTTTAATCCTTTCTGTTGTACAGATGAGGAAACTGAGACGCAGTGAGAGGAGGGGAGTAGCCCAAGCCCTAACCAAGTGGTAGGCAGGTGGTCAGCAGAGATGATAGGCAGGGATGAAGCTCAGGGTGGGGGACTTGAATACTTTAGGACCCTGGGATTGTGCTTATGGATTCCCAAGAACCCTTTGATCCAGTAGGTGGCCTCCCTGAGTGGGTTAGAGGGCCCTGGGCTGAGCCAGTAAGGCTGCTAGTTGCCAGCTCGGGAAGAGGGCCCTTGGCCAGGCTGGGACTGAGGCAGGGAGTATGTCCCAGTCTGTACGAGGAGGAAGAAGTCTGGACAGACAGCATTTGCTTTTATAGAGGGGAAACCAAAGCCCTGAATGGCCAGACCTGGGTCTCGAGGCCACTTGGCTGCAGCGGGGCCTGGGTTTGTGCCCAGAACACACAAAGACACACTGGTTGGCTATGTGGCCAGCAGCTGGCTCAGGCCCAAGTCTCTGTCTGTTCAGCGGAGGAATGGGTTAGTGTTAGCAGCTTCCTTCTTTGGTACAGCAGGGAAAGGTGCAGAGGTTTGGCATTTTGTGAACCTGGGTTTGAATCCCCTGCATGCTCTTGGAATGCTTGTGGCCCTTATTGAACTTCGGTGTCATTTTTTGCTTCCAAGATAGGTGGGCTAAACTTCTGAGTAGGGGTAGAGGCCTTGGGGTCAGGTTGGTCTGGACTTAGTTTTGTTAGACTAGTAACTCTACTGTTCAGTTTCTGCATCTTTAGAAGGAAGCACCACATTCTACGCAATACCTTCTTGCAGCTGAATGTCAGGGGGATTATGAGTGCAGTTTAGCCCCATCAATGTGGGTGGCCCCAGTGTAGACCTGGATCTTGATTCAGGCCTACCCTTCTGGCCATTTCTGGACTCTTCTCGGCATGGGTGAGGACCCTGCTCTGACCTGGGCTTCTCTTGGAGGTCTGCCCTCTTGGTTGGCCCTCTCTGGAGATCCTAGGCTGTCCCAGGAGGAGTAGGCCGTGACTGCACAGCTGGGTCTGGGCACAGGCCATCTTGCCACCTTCTCAGGGGCTCCTTTCTCAGCACCTATATATTCCCCCTGCAAATTGAGAGGATGGGTATCATCACTTACCCCTCAGTAGTCTTAGATTCTGTGTCTAGAGGACCCTGCTGGGCAGCTTTGAGGAAAGAATCCAGAAATGGCCAGTAGGTGGGAATGGGGCCCACTGCAACTATATGAAGACCCTCTCTGTCCTGTACCCACTTGCCTTCTACCTCTGAGTCCTATGACCAGGTACCTTCCAAGAACTGGATCTGCTAGGGCTCTTGAGGCATGCCCTGTTTTCACAGACTGAGAAATACAGGCCCAAGTGGTGCTGGAACAAGTCTGTCCTGGGCCTATGGACCCCTTTTGTCTTGGGTGGAGTGGGCACTTCTTCACCAAGCTAGGTCCTGGAGTGTGTGGTAATGGAGGACTGCCTGGAAGGACAGGAGAGGCTGTCTGGAAAGGCTTGTCACCTGCTAGGCAATCACTTGGTGCCACTTCAAATCCACATTGTAGATGTGCAAGAATGTAGGGATTCAGAGGTGGCTGTCCCACGGAGATAGGAATGAAAGTTTACTGTGGTCTACATCAACCTATAGGAGCTTGGGGGTGTAGCAGTTCTTAGCCTGTGCCAGGTCCAGGGTTCAGTTCCCAGCACTAAGCCAAATAAAACAAACAAGACCCCCGCTAAAATACAGGCCATCCCTGGCTCCCCAGAAAGTTTGGTTCTGGGCAAGGTTTTTTTTTTTTTTTTCCCCCAGATGGGGTCTGGCTGTGTTGCCCAGATTGGCATCAAAATTCCTGGGCTCATGGGATCCTCTTGCCTCAACGTCCCAAATAACTGGGATAACAGGCATGTGCCACCACACTTGGCTTAGGCAGGGATTTTTGTCTTGTTCACGGTGCCTGTCATGGGGTAGGCTCTTGGTACCTGCTTATTGAATGATGAATGGATGAATGAATGAATGAACAAGCGTGGGCCCACGGTGTGCGATGGACTGAGTATATTGTCAGACGATCAGGCAAACATGGGGCTGTGGTAGGGGGTCAGACCATGAAAGGCGTAATCTCAGATCTGACCCCAGCTCAATCCAGACGAGTGGTGGGGCAGGGTAGGGAGCCTCGTGGTGTCCACCCTGTCTAGTGTTATTAGGGCTGTTGGACACACATGCTGGATCAGATGTCGCTGAACACGTGTCTGAGAGATGGCTGTTTGTCCGAGAGTGCTGGCTTGTGTAGGTGGCTCCTGTTGCTGTGGATTTACCCCCACACGAACAGCTGTGGGTGATCAGGGAGCAGACAAACAGGCCCTGCTCAGGTCCAGTCTCCACTCATATGCTCTTCTCTCTTCCCCAGACATGCTCCAGCTCATCAACAACCAAGACAGCGACTTCCCTGGCCTGTTTGATCCACCCTATGCTGGGGGTGGGGCAGGGGACACAGAGCCTGCCAGCCCCAGTGCCAGTTCCCCAGGCAGCTTGTCTCCGTCTCCTGCCTCACTGAGCTCCCCTCTGGAAGCCTTCCTGGGGGACCCTAAGGCGGCATCCCCACCTTTGTCCCCTCCCCAGTCTGCACCCACCCCCTTGAACATGTACCCATCTGTGTCCCCCTTCTCCCCTGGACCTGGTATCAAAGAAGAGCCAGTGCCACTAACCATCCTGCAGCCCCCTACCCCACAACCCCTGTCGGGGACCCTCCTGCCCCAGAGTTTTGCATCCTCAGCCCCCCCACAGTTCAACTCAGCCCCTGTGTTGGGTTACTCCAACCTTCCTGGAAGCTTCTCAGCAGGTAAGGGGGGTGTATGGAGGGAGGGGACATTGGGGACAAGGCTGCCAGGAACACAGGAAGAAGTGTCAGTCATGGTCCTAGTGGAGGAATTTGCAGGTTCTAGAAGTTGAGTGTCCACTGTGCGGCCTGGGTCGCCCCATTGCTAGCGGCATTTCTCTGTCCTGGGTGCTGGGTGGAGTACTGCCTCCCACCAGAGGCCTGGCTGGCACATTTGCATCAGATCCTAGGCAGGGCCTGTCCCAATAGAAAATATGGGAATATTCCAGATAGGGACCATGACTCACTTGGGGCCATACGATGGCAGAGCTGAAGGGCAGGTTGAAAGTGGGTGAGGGCAGCCTTTGCCCGCAGCCCCAGGCTTTGTCTCTGCAGGGACCCCTCCTGGGAGCACCCAGCAGCCGCTGCCTGGCCTGCCACTGGCTTCCCCGCCAGGGGTCCCACCTGTCTCCTTGCATAGCCAGGTCCAGAGTACGGCCCCCCAGCAGCTGCTGACAGCCACAGCGGCCCCTGGAACGACCACTGTAACTTCACAGATCCAGCAGGTCCCGGTGAGGGGGTCTGGTCAAGCTGTGGGAAGGTGGTGGCCCTAGGCCCCTACACACAGCTTATGGCCCAGGCCTCTGCCACTCCAGGTCCTGCTGCAGCCCCACTTCATCAAGGCAGACTCCCTGCTCCTGACCACCATGAAGACAGATGTGGGGGCCACTGTGAAGGCTGCGGGTATCAGCTCCCTGGCCCCCAGCACAGCTGTACAGACGGCGCCCTTGCAGGTGGGCGGTCTGGACTGGGCAGAGGCTGCGGGGCGGGGGGGGGGGGGAGCCTGTGCACGTGCGTGTCCTCCTGGTAACCTGTGTCTGGCCTTGCAGACCCTGATGAGTGGTGGAACCATCCTGGCCACAGTCCCGCTGGTTGTGGACACTGACAAGCTGCCCATTAACCGGCTGGCAGCCGGCAGCAAGGCTGCGGGCTCAGCCCAGAGCCGTGGCGAGAAGCGCACAGCCCACAATGCCATCGAGAAGCGCTACCGCTCTTCCATCAATGACAAGATAGTGGAACTCAAGGACCTGGTGGTGGGCCCCGAGGCAAAGGTGCGGGCAGAGCCTGCAGAGGTTCAGGCTGGGGCAACCAGAGCCCTGTCTACTGGTTACACTTTACCGAGGGCCTCTGAGATAAAGTGCGTGGGAGGGTATGCTCGGCCTGGTTGTGTAGCAGTGAACAAGAGGGACAGAAATCCTGCCCAAAGGAACTGACATTCTAATAGGGAGACAGACATTTACCAAAATAGGTAAGTCAGTGTTCAAGGACCCCACATGGTGCCAGGAAAGAAAATAGGGCAGGAAGAATATGGTAAGAATTGCAAATCTAAATTGGGTGATCAGAGAAGGCCTTGGTAAGGTGATACATGAGCAAAGACCTGCGGTATGTGTTTTAGATATTAATCCTTATTTCTGCCTGGGAGGTAGAGGGAGGTAGGTACTATTGGGGAATATTTGCACAGGAACATTTTAGGCAGAAGGAATAAGTGCAGAGGTCCTGAGGCAACTGTGTGGCAAAGTAACTTTGTGCTCCCTTGCTAGGTTGCCCGCAACCAGACCTGACTAGCCAACTGTTTTCTCTCTCTTGCCCCCTAAAGCTGAATAAATCTGCTGTCTTGCGCAAGGCCATCGACTACATCCGCTTCTTACAACACAGCAACCAGAAACTCAAGCAGGAGAACCTAAGTCTGCGAACTGCTGCCCACAAGAGCAGTGAGTCCTGGCCTCCCCTCCCCTGCCTCTGGCCACACCCTGCCCAGGCTCTGGCCCTGCTTCCAGTAGGCCCTCCCCTCAGCCCTGGCCCCACTTTCAGTTCTGGCTGTGCAGTAACCAGCCCTGTCCCAGTTTCCCCGTTCCTTAGAACCTGGGCCATACCCCACCCCACCCTACGCCACCCTAGGTCCCTGAGCTCTGATGTGACATATTTGGTGTTCACCCCAGCTCTGTTCTTTCTGGCCAGCAGAATCACTAAAGGATCTGGTGTCCACTTGCAGCAGTAAAGGAAACACAGATGTGCCCATGGAGGGTGTGAAGACTGAACTGGTGGACACACTGACCCCACCACCTTCAGATGCCAGCTCACCCTCCCAGAGCAGCCCCTTGTCCCTTGGCAGCCGGGGTAGTGGCAGTGGTAGCAGCAGCAGTGACTCGGAGCCTGACAGCCCAGTCTTTGAGGACAGCCAGGTTGGGTCCTGCAACACTGCCCCTTGTCCTCTCCCGGGGATCTCTTCTGAGTCCTAGGGCTGGATCAGGGAGAGGCCCCTAAAGGAGCTGACCTGCCAGTTCATAGACAGAAAAACAGGCCCAGATCCCTGTGGGGCCCCGACTCCTCCTGTAGCCCTGTGTTCCCCAGGGCTGTCCAGCTGCGTCCTCACCTCCTGCCCTCCACCTCCAGGTGAAGCCAGAACAGCTGTCATCTCCCCATAGCCTGGGCATGCTGGACCGCTCCCGCCTGGCCCTGTGCACACTTGTCTTCCTTTGTCTGTCCTGTAACCCCCTGGCCTCCCTGCTGGGTGGCTGGACGCTTCCTGGCCCCTCGGATACTGTGGGTATCCACCACAGTTCTGGGCGCAGCATGCTGGGCACCGAGGGCAGAGGTAGGACAGGCCAGCCCGGGGATATTTGGGAGGGACTTTTGGGTTGTAGACCCGTGGCTGTGGACTGGGGTCTCTGGATTCCCTGGGAGCCCAGCCCTTCCTTCTGTCCACAGATGTCCCTGACTGGGCCCAGTGGCTGCTGCCCCCTGTGGTCTGGCTGGTCAATGGGCTAGTGGTGCTGGCCTTCTTGGCATTTCTCTTTGTCTGTGGGGAGCCGGTGACACGGCCCCACTCTGGCCCTGCTGTGAACTTCTGGAGACATCGCAAGCAGGCTGACCTGGACTTGGCCCGGGTAAGGGACTAGCTGGGGAGAGAGTGGGCAGGGCAGCATCAGGGCCTGCAGGCTAGGAGGTGCTGAGCAAGCCCCTGGCTCCCTGATTTCTGTGTGCACCATGAATCTGCCCCGTTCTTCACTCTTGCTCTCCTCCAGACTCTCACTGACTCCTGGGTCCTAGACAGAATGAGACCCTCGGAGGCCACATCATTTTTCACCTGGAAACTCCTTGTTCCCAGGGGGACTTCACCCAGGCTGCTCAGCAGCTGTGGCTGGCCTTGCAGGCACTGGGCAGGCCCCTGCCCACCTCCCACCTGGACCTGGCCTGCAGCCTGCTCTGGAACCTCATTCGCCACCTGCTGCAGCGACTCTGGGTGGGCCGCTGGCTGGCCGGCCATGCTGGGGGCCTGAGAAGGGACTGTACCTTGAGGGCGGACGCATGTACCAGCGCCCGAGATGCAGCCCTCGTCTACCATAAGCTGCACCAGCTGCACACCATGGGTATGACTGGGCGTGGAGCTGGGCAGAGGGGCGCCACCGTGCTGCCTCACGTGGCCTCCTGGCCTCATGCCCCACCTGCTTTCCAGGGAAGTACACGGGTGGGCACCTGGCTGCCACCAACCTGGCACTGAGTGCTCTGAACCTGGCAGAGTGTGCGGGGGATGCTGTGTCCATGGCAACGCTGGCGGAGATCTATGTGGCAGCTGCCCTGAGGGTCAAGACCAGTCTGCCCAGGGTCCTGCACTTTCTGACAGTGAGTGGGTGGTAGGCTGGTGGGGACGGGGCTGGGGGCTTGTCTTTGCAGCTCTTTCCCGTGGTTCCTGGGCATGGGGCTGCACAGAAGGTGGCAGCTGGTTACGAGGTGGGCTCTAGGCCCAGCTGGGGTCTCAACAGGGGTCTGGGTTTGAGTCCCTGCCTGGCGCCAGTGTGACAGCCCAGCTCCCCTCCCCCACAGCGCTTCTTCCTGAGTAGCGCCCGCCAGGCCTGCCTGGCACAGAGTGGCTCAGTGCCTCTTGCCATGCAGTGGCTCTGCCACCCCGTGGGCCACCGTTTCTTCGTGGATGGGGACTGGGCCGTGCGCAGTGCCCCGCGGGAAAGCCTGTACAGCTTGGCCGGGAACCCAGGTGCTCTCTCACCCCTGCCCCTGTCCCTCATCCTGTGCCTTATCCCCCATTCCTGTCCCTCATTATCCCCTGCATCTCTGGATGTCCTCCCCCCAGATTACCCCCCTATGTGGGTTGTAACTGTAGGGCTGTGGGGACTCAAGGCCTGGCTGGTCCTCTGTTCCAGTTGAGGCTCTTCAGAAGCAACATATGGGTCAGAGGGATGACAGTTGATTTGAGAGGCGACCCCGGGCCACCTCGTTGTGGAGTGAGGAAGTGAGACAGGGAAGGGGTGGCGCCTTTGAAGCCAGTGTGCAGGGGCTAGGCCGTTTTCCACCTGCCTATGGTAAGGGCCACTCCTAGGACCAAAGCTGGCACTTGCCATGGGAACGGGGTGGACCCCGCCCATTCAGGAAGAAGGCCTTGGTGGATGTAAAGTGGGGGGTGGGCTCCTCACTCACCCCCTCTTACCCACAGTGGACCCCCTGGCCCAGATGACACAGCTTTTCCGTGAACATCTCCTGGAGCGTGCACTGAACTCTGTGGCCCAGCCCAGCCCCAACCCCAGCCCCGGGTCAGCTGATGGGGACAGGTAAGTGTCCCTGTGCCTCCAGATATCACCAACATGTAGTCCGGGAATGACCATGTCTAGGGATCTGTGTGGATTACCAGAGCTGGGACTATTGTTCACTTGCTGGGTGCCCCCCGAGCCTGTGTTGGTCTCGTTTTCCCCACCAGCCAGGCAGAATGTGGCCCTTGGTAGAGCCATGGGGTCAGGCTGTCCTCAGGTAGGCATGTAGGACCAGCAGTCCCACAGGACTCCCAGGACCCCTGCCATCTGTTCTAACAGCCAGTCTTCTCCTGCCACAGGGAATTCTCAGATGCCCTCGGATACCTGCAGCTGCTGACCAGTTGTTCTGATGCTGCTGGGGCTCCTGCGTGCAGCTTCTCCATCAGCTCTAGCATGGCTGCCACCACCGGTGAGCCTGAGACCCCTGCCCCGGACTCCCTGCTCAGCCCAGACACTGTGGCTGAAGGTTCAGGGCACCCCTCCATCCTCTGCAGGCACAGACCCCGTGGCCAAGTGGTGGGGCTCACTGACGGCGGTGGTGATTCACTGGCTGCGGCGGGATGAGGAGGCAGCTGAGCGGCTCTACCCCTTGGTGGAGCATCTGCCCCGTGCCCTGCAGGAGACCGAGTATGTGCCAGGCCAGATTCTCCCTGCCCCGCACCCCCCCCCCCCGCCTCCCTTCCTGGCCCCTCAGCACTGTACTTGCACCCGCCTTTGCTCTGTGTGGTCAGGGTCACTGTGCTTTCTTTCCCCTAAGTCCAGAGTCAGGGCAGATGGGTGGGCCTTCACTGACTGGCACTCTTCTGCTCTGGCCCCCACAGGAAACCCCTGCCCAAGGCGGCACTGCACTCCTTCAAGGCTGCCCGGGCTGTGTTGGGTCGTGGAAAGGCAGAGTCTGGCCCAGCCAACCTGGCCATCTGTGAGAAGGCCAGCGGGTACCTGAGGGACAGCCTGGCCACCACACCAACTGGCAGCTCCATTGACAAGGTGAGGGGTGGGCTGGGGGCCTGCTGGTCTGGGTCACTGCCTTCTCCTCCCCAGTCATTTGGGGTTCGCCCAAGGAGCTCAGGATTGGGGGCCTTGGAGACTTTGCTTTGGGCTACAGTTTAAGTCTAGGGAAGAGTGACTCTCCCTGTCTGGGCTGAATCTCCATGCCCAGGAAGGGTGTGGGGCAGCCTGGCCGGGCTCCCTGGAGGGCTGCTCCTGGGGTGGGTGGTGACGTGGGGGCCTGGAGAGGCTGTGGCCCCACATGCATTGCGCGTGTATGGCGGGTGCAGTGCCTCAGCAGTGCAGCCCGGAGCTGGCCCCTGGTGCGCTGGCCCCAGCCTCCCTCCCGGAGCTGGAGCCCTCTCATGACCCTGCCTTCCCTACCTGCCACCCCCAGGCCATGCAGCTGCTCCTGTGTGACCTGCTCCTGGTGGTCCGCACTAGCCTGTGGAGGCAGCAGCAGCCCCCAACTTCAGCACAGGTGGCTCAGGGTGCTGGCAGCGGGCCCCAGGCCTCTGCCCTCGAGCTACGTGGCTTCCAAAGGGACCTGAGCAGCCTGAGGTGTCTGGCACAGAGCTTCCGTCCTGCCATGAGGAGGGTGAGTGCCTGTGGGCCCCCCACCTCACAGTGAGGACATGAAGCAACAGTTGCCAGGAGGGAGAGAGCAGGGACGAACTTCAACTCTCCTGCCCCTCCCAGGTGTTCTTACACGAGGCCACAGCCCGGCTGATGGCAGGGGCCAGCCCTACCCGAACACACCAACTCTTGGACCGCAGTCTGAGGAGGCGGGCAGGTCCTGGTGGCAAAGGTGAGGGTGGCTCACCTTACAGAGATGTGGGGGCCCTGGCTCAGCATGCAGCCCTCTCCACTACCCCTTTCCTCGCCCAGGTGGGAAGGGCTCAGATGGGGTGTGACGGATATTGGGGATGACTGCATGTGGGTGGGCGTGAGAGTGTGTGTGTGTGTGGGGGGGGGCTGAAATCCACTGGAGGTGACACCATTTGCGGTATACAATGCATTTGTGACTTTGAGTCTGTGTTCTACTGGGAAAGTAGTCACGGGCTCCATATCTGTTCCTCTGACCGTGGGCAGAGGAGAACCTTCGTGACTTGTGGGGCTGGTCCTCGACCGCCCCGCCCACAGGGTGGAACAGTAAGATAGCCCCGCCCCTGATGCAGCCCTGTGTGTGCAGGCGCGGCGGGGGAGCTGGACCCGCGGCCCACGCGGCGGGAGCACGCAGAAGCTCTGCTACTGGCCTCCTGCTACCTGCCGCCCGGCTTCCTCTCGGCGCCGGGGCAGCGCGTGGGCATGCTGACCGAGGCGGCTCGCACGCTTGAGAAGCTGGGCGATCACCGGCTTCTGCACGACTGCCAGCAGATGCTCATGCGCCTGGGTGGTGGGACTACAGTTACCTCCAGCTAGACCTCCTGCGTGGCGTCCTCCACGGTCTCAGTGTCCCGGTCTCCACGGCTCACCCGCGGCTGCTCCGTCCCTGAGGGGTGGGAAGCGGGAGGCGCAACCTACCACCAAAGCCCGCTCCTCAACTTGACAAGCGGCCGTCAGGATGGTGCTGACCTCTGGTGGCCGATCGGGGAATTACAGGAGCCGAACCGCCCGCGTTCCCCCCACCGCCCTTGCTCTGCAGGCACCTTAGTGGCTTTTTTCCTCGCTTTTCTAGAGGGAGGAGGGGGTACCTTTCTTTGAGCTGAGGGGGGCCCTTCCCCAAGGTGCCTCTTTCCCTTCTGGGGGAGACTTGTACATAGTGTAGATGGGTGGGCCCGGGTGGGCCAGCCTCCTTGCCTCGGAGGCTCATGAGCTACTTTTGCAAACTTTATTTTCGTAGGTTAAGTTTTGTACAGAGAATAAAAAATGACGTTATTTATAACCTTGGTTTTGTTCCTTTGGGGATGAATATGTGTGCTGGACATGCTGACCACACACCTTAGGGCCTTTTTCTTCAGCACCAATGCCAAGGTCTCCCATCCTCCACCCCTCATAGGACAGTATTTACCCCCTCCTGACCTTATGACCCCTAGCTGACCTATCCCACTGATCTTGGGCCAAATGTTCGTCTGTATTCAGTTAGGGCCTTGATGGTTTCAGTTGTCCCTGAAACTCCTGGCCCTGACTCGGTCTGGGGTGACTTGGAAAGACAGTGTCCTCCAGGGCCTGTTTGACAGGAGCTATAACTTGGGCCTCCCAGTATGTCTGGAGTGTCTCAGCTCCCTCACCTCCTCCTATCTGTCCTCGGAGAAACCCTGTATCAGTCAGAATCTGAGGTCACATAGGCAGGTGAGGCCATCTGAGGGTGTCTCCTGTTCTCCAGAAATGGGCTGAATCCCTGATCACCCCCGCACCTAAAGTCTGGTCCCGAATCCCAGCAGAATCTGGTCAGAATCCATGGGCTGCAGACTTCCAAAACAATCTTGTATCTTTATTGACTTTTTTTTTTTTTTCTGAATGCAATGACTGTTTTTTTACTCTTAAGGAAAATAAACATCTTTTAGAAACAGCTCGATACACACAATCTTCAGTGTGAAGCAATATACTAATAAGAACACTAGTCGTCTTAACATTTACAGTCTTCATATATATTATATATATGTATATGTATACATATATATACACTATATAACGAGGCCAGATATAATACACACGTTTACCATTTTACAGTCATATGTACAGGAAGTTGCTAGGGCGGCCCCTGGCTGGGGCTGCGTCAGGCCTATTGAAGCGTGGACAGAGCTGAGGTGAGGACACGGACAGACAGGCGGACGGACTGGCAGGGACTGGCCCAAGCCGGTGGTGGCTGCGTGGGGAAGGGGCATCGCGGTAGACTCCCCTACTCGGCAAGGGCCCGGCTGGGGCTCTGCTGCAGGGCGCACGACGCACGGCGGCGACACACAGGAGAAGCGAGCATGTTCCCAACATATATACATTCTATGTAACATATATATAGAGGGGTACACAGGTTTTGTACACGAATCTAGCGCTGTCCCTACTCCCGTACTGAGTGGGCGCTGTGGTCCCTGAAGACCGTGGTGGCGCACAGGGACAATCGCGCATCCGCCGGAGGTACGCTCATGCTCGGATCGGATCTCCTTTCTTGCTGCGTTCCTAGGCTGGGCTCCAAGGGTGGGGTGGAGGATTGGAAAGGGGACGAACAGAAGATGCCCCAGTCCCGCCCACACCCGGGGAGCCCACATCCCCTGAGCATAGGCCCCCGATTACCCCGGCTTGGCCGGAACCGCAGGGAAGCTTTGGCAAAGGGTGGGTGGGAAGGGGCGCTGGGACGCATTCCGACTGGTTGGTTTCGAAGCCCCTTGCCCCCTCCCCCGCTGGCCGGGCCCCCTCCAGAAAGGCTCCGGTTTCCCCTGCCTCGTCCATGGAGCTAGGAGCCGCCCTCGGCCCCTTGCAGGGTCGTCTGGATCTCCTCTCCCGACCCCAGGGCGCCCAGCTGCAGGCCACGACCGACCGACTGCGGTGACGGCAGCACCCACGAGGAATGTGTGCCACGTCGTCTTGGAACTTCCGGGAGGGGGAAGTGTCCCCAGCCCAAAGCCGTCTCCCACCCCCGCCAGAGGCTGGGTGGGCCGAGAAGTCTGGCCGCTCCGCGGGCTCCCTCTCCAAGCCTGGCCCCAGGGGTGTGGGCAAAAAAAAAAAAAAAAAAAACGCCCTGTGCCGTCCGGTTCCGGGAGCAGGCGGCTCCGGAACAGGTTTTCTTCCCAACCCGGGGCCGCACGTCGGCGCCCTGGGCGGCCGGATCCAAGATCCGGGACGCGGATCAAGGATCGGCTCTGGACGCGCGCTGGGAGCAGCTCCAAGGCCCCAGGGCTGCGCAGGCTGCTTCTCTCCTTCGGAGGCGGGCGTCGGGCGGCTCCGGCGGCTTTTCCAGCCGTTGCGGTGGATTACAACGGCAGCCTCTGCAAAAGAAGAGCAGACGCCCGCCGTCCATTACTGTGGGCCGGGGAGAGGAGGAAGGGGCCGATTCCTTCCAAGCCGCAGGCCCCGCCCTCGGTGGGACCCCGCCCGCTCACCGGGTGGGCGCCCCTAGGGTCTCTTTCGGTGTCAGGGAGCGGGAGTCCCCCCTCTGGCTTTTCCTTTCTTCTGACCACCTTCACCTGAGTGCCCTCCGTCCAGTCCTGTGCCCTCTCTTTGCCCCCTATCTTGAGAGGGCTTTATGGCAGCTCCCCTAGGGATGTCCCTTACGGGCTCGCTTGGTGGACAAAGCAGTAGCCTATGCAGATCTGCCTCAAGGCCCGCAGGGGCCCTGGCGACAGGTGAGGGGAAGCTGAACTGGGTCCTGGCTGGACTTGGTGGGGGCTGGGTCTCCTGAGGGTCTGCAGGTCAGGGCAGGGGCTGGTAAAGGCCATCATTGATGGAGTGGGGCTCCTTGTGATCACCTACCTTATGTTTGGGACATTTCAAAGAAAAGTTCTCTTCGATGAATACACAACCTGTAACCAAAGAGAAGTTTTGGTGGTTAGACAGGGTGGGGTCTGCCAGGCCCCAGCTTGCAGGAGCTCTTTTCAAAGAGTGACCTAAGTCCTGCTTAAATCCTCCATAATCACAGTTCCACCACAGAACAGGCTGGGGGGGGGGGCCCTCTGCTCCTTCCTGCTTTGTTCTTTGTCCTCACCTCACCTGCTCCACCTGGAACTGTTTCCCCCCCATCCTGTTTCCGCATGGCTGGCTCCTTGACTAAAGCAGAACCTGCCCTCCGCAATCCCCTGAGATGTGTGCCCAGCCCCTAGAAGAGCCTAGGAAAGACTCAATCACTGATGGCTTCGGTGGTCACCTACAGCATGTCCGTCGTGGGGATGGTGAAGAGAGCATATATCAATACCCGCCCCCCCCCCCCACACACACACACATGGCACACAGTAGGTGCTCAAAATGCAGGGGCTTGTTCCCGTGGGAACAATGGAAGATGAGAATGAGGTGCACATAGGATCCTGGTGAACACTCCAACCACAGACGAGCCAGAGGACAGCAGAGTTTGGCCAGCCCAGCTCTGCCAGGCTGTGCCTGTATCTCCACGAGTCCTCCGCTCCCTGCCTGCTGCCATCTATGGACACCCCGGCTTTTCCCTGAGCACCCCCACCTATCACCCCCCGGGGTCCTGAGCTCATCTCTCCTCTCTCAGCCTCACTGGCCAGAGGGGCACCCTGCCCCAGCACAATCTTCCAGTTCACACTGGAGGGTGGCATCATCACAGGGTGGGGACCGGGAGGCAGGGCAGGAAGGGGACAGATCTGCAGCTCCAAAGCAGAACTGTAGGCCTTTTGAAGGCGTCTCCCCTTCCTTTCCCTGCCCAACCCCTGCCAGAAGCTATGAGGGCCCCCCACCCCCCACCTTTGAACTCCCTGTGAGATTCCATGATCTAGAGCCACAGCTGGGGCAACTCAGCAACTTTCCTTTTCTGGTTCTGGGACAAAGTGAGACATTCCATAGAGCCTGGGCTAGAAGTCCAGGCTCGCCTGCTGACCACATGGCAGCCCTCTGGATCAGCTCTGGGTACGTGGGCCAAGTGCCTGGGTCACCAGAAGCCAGGGGTAGGAGGCCACTTCTAAATCAGGGCTTTCAGCAACCCCAGCATCTCCCATGCCAGGTGTGGGAGGGGAGTGGTTGGGAAGGGCCAGGTATCGACATCGTGTCCCTCGTCTGGTGTCTTGGATCTGGATGACCAGGTGGCCCTGGGGCTGACTGAGATTTGGTGGGTTTGGACAGGACACCATGGTGCAGTGGCCTCTGCCTGCTCTTGGGAGTCAATACGGGTCTCCAGAGAGAGGATCCTTAATACGGACGGGAAGGGGGCAGGGTTAGTGGGCCAGGGCAGGAAGGCTGGGTGGCAGCTGGCACCCCGCAGTCTGAGAGCCTGACTGGAGAGCCCCTGCTGACCCCCCAGGTAGATTGCTCTTCTCAACCTGCTGCTGCCTGGTCACCACCAACAGCCCTCCCTGCTTCTTGGAGTTCAGTCCTTCCAAACCTTTTCTGGCTGCTGAGCCCGTTTCCCAGAGGTCCCCTCCTCCTCCTCTGCCAGGTCTTCATAGGTGGCATCTCCCCACACACTATGCCCTCCAGGGCTCTAATGAACCCCTACCTGCTCAGGTGGAGTCTCCATCCTGAGCCCAGCTGGGGGCTTTGCAAAAGTGACCTGTCCAAAGCAGAACTGCTCTTTATGGCTGCCAACACGACCTTGATCCCCCACTCTGTACCCAGGTCCTTTGCAGCCCGTGCCATGGAGAAGTGGCATGCCTGTCCCCACCCTCAGAATCTGGGTTGCACCTAGATTGCTTTGGCCAACAGAATACACTGAAGCCCAGAGCCCAGGCTGGGAGAGGCCGTGTGACCTCCAATCTTTCAGGCCCCTGCTGTCTTGGAGGACAAGACCACGTGCATCATGTGGAGCCTAAAAGGGCTGGGCCAGCAGCTGGGGCCTCCCTGGAGCATCCTTCCCCAGCAGAGCCTGCCAGGGTGAGTACCTACGTAGCAGTAATTAATACCTTCTCTCATATGCTCATCCTGCTCAGACTGGTTTCTCCCTCCCCATGGGGAAGCTGGACATCAGGCCGACACCTCCCTCTCCCTCATCTCTCCCAAAGTCCTGTGGCTTCTGTGCCAACATAGCCTCTGAGCTAGATAGCTCTACTGTACCAGGCCACTCTCTCCTGCTTGGACTGTTGCAGTAGTTCATCAGCCAGCCCTGATCATCCTTTTCCCCCCAGACACTTCCCTGTCTCATTCTCTGTAGAGATTCCTGTCATTTGGGGACTCGGTTTCTAAGATTTCCTTTGAAACATATGTTCTCTGACTCAAAGCCTGGTATAGGGAGTCCTACGGCTAACCAGCTACAGCCCACCTTTCCTGATGTTTTGAGGCCTGGCTCAAATATCACTTCCTCCTAGAAGTCTTCCTGGATTCCCTCCCAGCTCAGACAGGAAGAGCCTCTCCCACGTCCACTCTCTCTTCCTCATCTGGTCTCCATAACTGCCGGTAAAAACTATGGCTCTCCTCTCTGTCCTACTTCAAGGTGAGCCCCCTGGGGAGGCTGGACAGTTCTGGGGTAGGAGAAAGAGCACAGGATGTGGAGTGGGAAAGCCGGGCCATCACACGGGGCGTCTGACAGTGTCATGGTGTGGTGCCAGGAGTTAGACAGCTCATCTGGAGACGGTGCAGGGACCTGACGGGCAGAGGGTGCTCAACAGGTCACTACAGGGGTACCGGGCTCAGGGAGCCTACCCATGTGCCATGTGGCTGGGTAGCGTGGATGGAGTCCACGTTCAAATCTGGCTCTGAGTGAGAGGGTAGAGCCACCGAGAGCCCGCACCTGTGGCTCAGCTCTAGCAAGTCCCCTCCTGCTGGGCACCAGCCGCTCAGCCCCCTGCTGAAAAATTGTCACCAAAGTCCTGTGGGTGCTCCCTGGGGTGGGTTGGCTATAGGGCTGACACTGGTCAGGGACCCAGCAGGCAGGTGGGATACAGGCTGCGGTCACCTCTGCATGCGGTCAGGAGGAGGGGCACTGTGAGGATCTGCTGGGTGACATGAGCCCCTCCGGTGCCTGGGCTCTGCCCACGTCCAGACAGGGTCAGAGTCATTTCTCCCACTTCCAGGCCGGAGCTGGGAGGGATGCAAAGCGAGGGGACAGGGGTCACGGGCCCACCCTAGGACTGAGGTCACATTTCCTGGACGGTGTTCAGTATTTCACTCTCCTTCAGACAGCTCTGGGACAAAGAGACTATTAAAATCTTCCTTTTACAGATGGGGCAACCGAATGCAGAGACATCTGTGAGCTGCCCAAGGCCACACCTTCAGAAATGCCATCTGGAATCCCAGAGACTTGGGAGGCTGAGGCAGGAGGATCACGGGCTACAGGCCAGCCTCAGCAACGTAGCTAGACCCATCTCAAAACAAACACACAAAAGCCCCAAACCAAACCAATTAATGCCTCCAGAGTTTGAATCCAGGCCAAAGTTGGTCTTAAGTACCCTTACAATATTGCTGTCCCCCGTGACGGGCATTACACAGTGAACAGCTGCTTTCTTCGGATGAAATAAGGGATCTTTCTGAGCCTCAGTTTCCCCATGTGGTGGACGAGGTCTGGAGTTCCCGGGTCTCTCTGGTCTATGCAATCTATCCCTGTGCGCCTGGCAACTGTAGGTGCTCAATAAATGCCCATGGAACAAGTGGATAAAAGTAGGGAATTGGGGTAGAGGCCACTGAGGAGGCTAGGCCTGCCTCAAAACCCCAATGTCTTCTTCAAACCTTCCATGGGGCTTCCCCATGGCCAACTAGAGGTCGCCTGGCCTCAGTGTGTTGGAACCCCCCGTCCTCAGCTCATCTTTCTTGTTGCAGGATGATCTTTCCGCGGCCCCAACGCATCTTTCTTTCTGAGATCCCCACGGTCCCTTGCAATGGTGGCTCCTCAAATAGCCCTCCTGACTCTAATCCATGCTTGTCTTTCCTCGTTGCTCCGGGCAGGCCACCATTGGTGCGTTGCCCAGTTGTGGTCTTTATCTCCTAGTCTAGGAAGGACTCTGTCTAGGAAGGATGAGGAGGTAAAGAATTGCTGGGGCAGGAGAAGAGGGGACCCAAGGGGTGCAAAGAGCCCGGGTTGGAGGCCCTGTTCCCACGGTTGGCTCTTACCCGCATCGCTGGCACACGGGTAATGGTAGGAGTGGACACATCCTTTGTAGGAGCACCCGATGGTGGCCCCGGCTTCTTGGCAGCTGGAACATGTCTAGAGAGAGAGAGAGAGAGAAGCCGTGAGTCCCGTGCTCCCCGGGCTGACCCCACGCAGCCCACCCGCTTCCTCCAAAACCACCCTGGACCTCAGCATGAAGGAGGAGGCTTAGGTGGGGTGCAGATGCCCACACAGGCTGGTTCTCAGGCACCCTGGGCTGGCTTGCTGGGTGGGGACTTTCTTAGGCCTGTGAACTAGTCACCACTATGGCTGTGGGCACCAGCCAGCATTTGCCAAGTGCTTCCTGCAAGACCGGGCAGAGTGGGTCTTTGGCTGCTGGCTCCTAACAGCCCTTGAGGTGGGTGGCACTTATTAACTATACAGGTGGTGACACCAAAGTGTCCCTTGCACAGGCAAAAGCAAAAGCAATGAGCATTGCTGTCCACGCTCTCTGGTGGCAGCAGGAGTACCAGTGGCAGGACCAGGCGGTCACCCTCCCTAGGATGGACGAGGCAGCAGAAATGGAGACAGCATGCCACCTTGAGATGCTGACTTCACGTACGCCTGGTGCCACCCAGCATGCGCCTGGTCCCTTACAGTTCTCAGAAGTGTCTTCTGCTGAGCTTGGGGGGTTGCCCTGCTTGGTGCAGCTGTCCTGTGGCCAGGAGAGGATGGTAACCCCCAAGAAAGACCCCGGAGGAATCAAGCCAAACCCCGAGGCCTGGGGAGGAAAGTGGCGGGTCCAAAGTCACCCACATTCCTGAATCAGCCATCGTCGTCCACGGGGTGGGGGGGGATTGAGGCGCAGAAGGAAAGCCGAGAGCACTGTGGGCCCCTCCCAGAGGCCCGGCCTGCTTCCCAGCAGGCCTGGCTGGAAGCCCGGTCCAGCTTCTCCAGGTTCCCTGGGTAACCCGCCTGGCAGCACACGCTTCCGACTGAGCCCTGAGCCCCGCAGCCCGGTTGGGACACAGGCTCAGTCACCACCCCAAGACCAGCCCAACCTCTTTCCTGTCTCATCCGGGATGGCTTCCTGTGGAACTGGGGCCCAGCACGAGTGGGGACCCCAGGCCAGATGGAGACGGTCATCCTCAGTGGTCCCTGGGCCACCGTGGGGTTCCTCGGGCTGATGGCTTCTCTCCACTGTGGTCCCCAGCAACCCTTGAGGCGGCCATTGGACCGGCCACTTTAGACACGAAGAAACAAGTCCAGGATCCTGCTGAGGCCTCAGGTGCTTCTGACCCCAGCCACCCCCACAGGGGTGGCCCACGCCAGGCAACGTGGGCTCAGCCCTGGGACCCGCCTCTCTGCTCTGGCATGGCAGGGCCAGCCTCATCTGGGTAGGGGATGGGGTCCATGATGGTGGGGGAGGAGTCAACCCGCAGCCCCACAGCTCTGTTCTCCAGGGAGCACAGGGGGCGTCCATGGACGGGCAGGTGTAACAGGTGGGCGGGGACTCGGCAGTGCTCTGGGATCCGAAGACCCTCACTATCCAGCTAAGGGGGGGGGTCCAGCACTCTGGGGCTCCGAGGGCAGGTGGCTTCCTGCCGTTAGGAACTGGCCCTTGGCAAAGCTGTAATTTGCATCGGGACCAGTTTGATGCCCATGGAACGTGATGGGAAGGAACAGTGGGCTGTGGTGACCCTGCTCATTTTTCTGGGGAGGGTGGTTGCCTGGGGACCATGCCTCATGGACATGGGCTGTGATGAGCCCTCTGAGGCTCTGCTGGCTGGACAGCATGTCCAGGGACCTCTGCAGCAGGGAGACACCTTGAGTGACCAGCAAACACCTATGGTGTGTGTGATTCTCATTCTGGCCTCCGGGGCCGCGGCTGCCAGGCTGGCCCTGGAACATGGGGTGGGGGGGGACATGAGGATGGATTGGGTGGACTAGACCAGTCCAGCTGTGTGACAGTGGGGGACCTGACCCATGTCTGACACATGCGTCCCCCTCAGTGCAACAGGACCTTCTTTGTGTGCAGGTCAGTGAGCTGAGACACCAAAGGCACCAAAGGGAAGGGCCTGGGACAGGCGAGGGGCTTCACCCACTCTCTCAGGGACCCCTCCTCACCCAGGCCAGCCAGGGACATAGAGATAACCAGATCCCAGGCCTGGACCTCAGAAAGGCTTTGGACGTGAGCCTGGGGGCTGCACGGGAACACCAGCACTCCGGAGGCCAGTGTGGACGGGGTGGTTAGCAGGGCAGGGTGGCCGTCAGCTGGGGGGTGGCCATCCCAGGGCAGGGCTGTTGTTTTTTATTGATGGGTCAGAAATGACTTTATTTTTAGGTGGCTGCAGAGAAGCCAGGGATGAAAATGTCACTGAGAAGGGAAGAGAGAGGACCCAGGGCCCATGGCCTCGCCTGAGTGTGCAGGTGGGGGCCCTGGACAGCTGCATCCTGTCCGGGCCAGGCCTTCCTCAGTGGGGTGGACAGGACATCGGGGCACAGAGGTCGCCATCATCCCCATGGGCCGTGGGGGAGCCGGGAGCCTGGGAAACAGGTATGAGCAGCATTTGCAGTGGCCAGACAGCGCCCCGGCAGATGGGGTGGGGCGAAGGCCACCAGGGTGGTCAGCTCTGCTGGGTCACCAAATCATTCAGATACAGGAAGCCCATGACTCACAGGCCTCTGGCACCACCTGCAGCAGGATGGCAGGTGTGGAGGAGGCGGGGCTAGGAGGGGTGTGTCCACGGGGACAGTCCGGGGCCTAAGGCAGAGCACTGGGAGTGTCATTCCCCAGGAGCCTGGCGGGGCAACCTGGGGCCTCAAGTGTGTGAGGGACAGGGGCCCAGTCTCCATGGAAGGCAGCCTCACCAGGGGGGGACCAGAGAGCACGCTCTTGGGCACTCACTGCAAAGAGCCCTGTGCCCCTGGCAGACGGGAGCCGAGGAGCAGCAGCTGGTGGCCTGCGGTACTGGAAGGTAGGGTCATCCTATCAGTGACAGACACAGAGCCCTCGGGGTAGGTCGGGTGCCACCCTAGTGGTGACAGGTGTTGACTCAGAACACCCCACGGCCACTCCCTCGGGCAGGCACAGGGCGCCCACCCCGAGGATGAGGGTGCCCGGGCAGAGGTCGCGTCCATGGGGAGAGCAGGCAGCTCCTCAGTCTTGGTTCACAGAGCTCAGTGACCACAGTCCCCTGGGCCACCTCCCAGAGGGGAAGAGCCCTGTGCGGGGTGCCAGGCTGAGCCCGGGGGCAGCTCCTCCTGCAAGCCCAGCTAGGTGACCTGGAGGAGCGACTTGTGCGGGCGGGGGGGGGGGACCCTGGCGTTTAATTCTGGGGCCTCCCGCCCTCGTGGGCACCTCGGTCAGCAGGGTGGGGACTGGAAGAGGCCCGAGGAGAGGGCGCACTGCGGGGGTGCTGGCTGGGCAGACTGCAGGTAGGGCTGCGCGGGAGGCTTCCTGGGCAGTGGGTGAGTGCGTCCAGGTGTGCCCTGCGCCAGGGGTCTCGGGGTCTGTGGATAGTGCTGTGGCCGTGGGCCTTTTGACCCAAATGGCAGCCCTAGAGAGACAGGGGGCTCCCCAGCGGCTGCCTGCCCGCCTGCCTGTCCTTCCGAAACCCAAGCTGCCCACCCTGGCTGGGCTGGCCTCTTACCATGTCCACGGCCACCTTCATGGCCTCCTGCAGCCCAAAGAGCTTCCCGGCCACCAGGTAGACCCCGCCGGTCCACACGGCGCAGGCCTCGTGCACCCAGTGCTCCTGGGTGTCCCCGCCGGGCTCTGCAGGACCCTCTTTGCTGCACTCATGCTTGCGGCTCTTGTCGGCTGTGGCCACCTCCTCGCCCCCGTCCCCCCGACCATCACAGCAGTAGCAACTCTGCAGCCGCCGGGACAGGCCCCGGGCGCTGGTGCGCAGTGAGCCCTGCTTGGCCGGGTCCGCTGGGCCGTCAGGCCTGGAGGGCTTCCCGGCGGTGGTGGCGGCGGCAGCGGCGGCGGGAGCAGGGGCTGCACACTCGACTTTGAGTGTTCTCTCAAGGGGCAGCGAGGCCTCCTCACAGGTGCCTTCCGGCCGCACCTTCTCCTTGAGTTTTGGCTTCTTTTTGGGGAGGCAGTGTTCGGGGTAGTAGGGCCCACAGAGGTCCCCGAGGTCCTTGAAGTTGGCCGGGTTTTGGCAGAGGCAGCAGACAAGGCAAGAGGTACTCAGAGCCTTGGAAACCACAGGCCCCAGGTGCATTGTGGAGGAGAGGGGCAGCGAGGGCCGTGGCTGCAGGATGGAGCCCCCCGGGAGTGTGGTCAGGGAGGTCCCGGCCACATCCAAGGAGAAGGAGGAGGAAGATGAAGAGGAGGAGGTGGAGGAGGAAGGCTTCCTGTGGGGCTTGGGCTCATCCCCAGGGGAGTTGACAACAGTGCATACGGTGGTGAAGGCGTCTCGCTTCTCCACCCGCACGAAGGGTGAGAAGGCTGGGGTCCTGCTGTCGGCCCTCAGCCTCTTGCAAGAGGAAATGTACTTGAGGCGGATTTCAGGCTCGGCGGGATCCAGGGGCAGCACCTGCTGCTGCCTTCTCCGCTTGGCACGCCCCTTACAGGGTGAAGCGTTGGTGTTCTTGGCCCGGCCCCGGGTGAGGCGCTTCCGCTTGGAATAGCTGCTGTAGTTGGCGTGGCCCGGCTGCTTCTGTGCCCTTGTCTGGGGCTGGCAGGGCCGGCCCTCAGGGGGCTGGGAGGCCAGACCCAGCTCCTCGGTCTTTGGCTTCTTGCCTCCTCCACCAGAGTTGTCCTCGCTGCCCACCTGCGTGCTGCTGGCCCTGTCTCGGGGATTGAGGAGCACAGCCTGGCCAAGATAGGGCCGCTTCTCCAGGGGACCTTTGGAGAGCCCGAGGCCTCCGGCCCTGCCTTTCCGGCTCCTCTTCTTGGGTGCCAGCGTGGTCCCCCCAGGCTGCAGGGCCTCCGGGGACAGGAAGGCCTCAGTTTTGAAACAGTCGGTGGAGGACAGTTTCTTACTGTTCATGAGTTTACCTTTTAAGGACCTGTTGGTCGGATTTCTACACAACGGCTCCCCTCCCGAAGCCCCTGGGAACTTCTGTCCCGTGCCCACGCTGACCAGACCTTCTTCTGCCCCGGCCGGGCTGCCCCCAGCGCTCTTGAGCCCCCCGCGGTCCTTCTCGGGGAGGGCCGGGCTCAGGGGAGTCCCAGGGGGCGCCCCGGGCGCTTTGCATGCAAACTTCTTGAGGCTGGGGGAGGTGATCTTCTGCACAATGGCCTCCAGCTTCAGGCCCCGGCCTTTCCTGGGGGGCAGCACCTTGGTCTTCACGGTCCCCTGGAAGGCAGCCCGTGAGGCGAGCTTCATGCAGGCCTCGGGGGCCTCGGGGGGCGGGGGCTTTGTGGTGGGCTCCCCGCTGCCCTTGGGTTTGGCCTTCTTGGGAGAAGACATTCTCTTAAAGAGCGAGGGGGAGCCCTCAGCCCTGTCCTCCTTCCCGTCCCCCCCGCTGGCACTGATGCTGCTGCTGCTGCTGCTGCTGCGTAGGACCAAGTTCCTCTTCTTGGTGGGGACAGGCGCCAGGAAGGATGATTTCCGTTTGAGCGCGTGAAGGGGCCGGTCAGAAAGCTTGCCCCCTGTGCCAGGCTTGGGGACCCGTGCTCGCTGGCTCACTCTGCCCTCCTTCTGGGGACTGCCGGCGGCGGCGGCGGTGGCAGCAACCTTGAATGGGGCAGGCAGGTGGTTGTTGGCAAGGACCTTCTTGGTGGCCCGGCAGTTGGGGAGCCGGGTCTCTGAGGGTCGCCGCCGCTTGGCGTGGAAGACCTCTTGGGGTTTGGTGCGCGATCGGAGGATCATGGAGCGCTGGTCCTTGCCGGGCAGGCCGGGCGAGTCTGGCTCCTTGGTTTTGGAGCCCATGGGGCTGCTGTCTGAGGCCACGGGCAGGGCGGCCGGATTGCTGGGGCTGGACGCGGCCTTGGGCGAGGGCTTCCCCACCCGCTTGCCCGACTTGAAGGCGGCTCGCTGCTTGCCCCCCAGCTTGTCGGGGGGCGCGGGGGTGGTGGTCAGACCCGGGGGCCCGGGTGTGCGGGGCTCACTCAGGGCCGTGAGGGAGCGGGTGCACATTCTGGGGAGCCCTTCGGAGGGCCCCCTGCCTGGGGCCCCGGCCCCTTCCATCTGTCCCTGGGGGGGCCCGGTGCAGGACTCGGGGAGCAAGAGGTCTTTGGGTAACGCTGGTGCTCTGCACGGGGAGTCCTCAGCCTCGGGCAGCCCCCGGTGGACTCGCCGGCTCCGGAGGCTTTTGCCCCGTGGCACAGGCTCTTTCTTAGCAATGGGTGCCTCGGGCACGGCGGGCTTGTTGGGCTTCTGGGCCAGGGAGGCGTCCGAGGTGGTGGAATCCACCGGAGCCCGTTCCCCGTCGGGCCCTTCTTCGCCGGGCTTCATGTGGGACAGGGAGGACTCGAACCAGCTCTGGACCTTGGACTCGGCACCCACGGTGGGGCCCAGCAGGATGACAGACTCCCCGGATAGGTGGCAAGGGGAACCCCAGCCGGCCTTGGAGTCCAGCACCTCCTCCGCCTCCTCCTTGGTGCAGAGGAGGGGGGCCTTGGGTGACAGCGGGTCCTGCATGCCGGGCCTCTGCTCCGGGCTGCCCAGCAGCTCGCACAGGGAGGAGTACTCCTCGGCCTCCAGGTCCTCCTTCCTGCCGGTGGGTGGCAGCAGGGGCAGGTCCCCAAAGTCGGAGGCCGAGCAGCAGTGCCGGCTGTCCTCCAGCCACCGGTCGGCCTTGCCCACGTCGGGGCACTGCAGCAGGCCGCTGGCCTCCTCCTTCACCCCACCCGCCTCCTCCTGTTTGAAGTCCCCGGGCAGCGCAGCCGCCTTCTCCCCAGGGGGCCCCTCCTCCTGGAAGCCCAGGCAGGCCGAGGCCTCGTGGCCGTCCCCTTTGCCCACGCCGCCGTCCGAGGCCTTCCCGCCCTGCTCCAAGCCCTTGGTGAGCTCGCCAGGGTGCAGTCCCCAGCGGGGACAGGCATCCCCCAGGTTCTCCTCTGGCCAGGCAAAGGGGTTGGCGCCATCTGCCGAGCTGGACGTGGTCGTGGTGTCCGGGAAGCAGTCGAAAGCCGCTGCGGTGGGGTCCGGGGCGGCGGCCCCAAGGGTGGGTTTGGCGCCAAAGGAGAGGGGACCAGAGGTCTTCTTGGGGTCAGGGGCGGCGAAGGCCACCGAAGGGTCTTCAAACAGCCCCGGGCTGAAGTCCTTGGCATTGCTACTCTTGTCCAGCTGCAAGGAATCAGGCAGGGCCTCGGGCTCCCCGGGCCGTGGCCAAGCATTCTTGGCCACAGGGTCGAGGCAGGTGCTGTGGTTCTCCAGAGAGAAGGGTGGCTTGCTGGCGTCCTTGGCCAGCCCCGGGGTCTCCGGCCAGGCCTTCTCGGCTTTCTCACCGATGGCTTCTTGCAGCCCCAGGATCTCAGAGGCCAGGTCCTCCTGAGCCAGGGCACTGAGCAGCAGCCGCGGGCAGTCCCGCTCGCCGGCCACGAACTTGGAGAAGCTGTCCAGCGGCAGACTGCTATGCAGGCTCTGGAAGGAGTCGTCAGATTTGGTGGACATGTCGTCAGGGGAGGTCACAGAACAGGTGGACACGGATTCGGGCTTGGCCTTGGAGTTGCTGTTGACCCTCGCGGGGCTGCCGCGGGCCTGGCTGCAGTAGAGGAAGCCGCGCTCCAGCGGGTCCTCGGAGCCGCTCAGGTAGTCGGTCTCCTGTGGCTCTGCGTGGGTGGACTGCGGCGTGCTGCTCAGGGGCTCCGACAGGGGCGTCCCCGCTGGCTCCGCAGAGTACCCGCTGCCCTCGGGGCTGCAGTGCTGGCTCTTGTGCTGCTCCGGGGTCCTGGACACCAGGTTCTTGACCCCTTTCTTCTGCGGCACGGCGGCCTTGGACAGCAGAAGCTGCTGGACGGTGTTGGATATGTTCTCCACCTGGGAGGTCAGGGCCGTGAGGCTCTGCAGGCTGAGGTCTGACAGCAGGTTCTCCGGGATTTTGTCCTTCTGCAGGGGCTTGCAGTTGCTGGCCTGGGTGTCCACGGAGCTGGCGGCGTCTGTCGGGGAGGGATTGAGCAGGGGCATGAAGTGGCTGTGGTCGGTGATGCCCGCGGGGAAGGCCCCGGCGCTGAGTGGTTGCTGGTTGTAGGGGAAGTTCTCTAGGTTTGGCATGAGCGGGGACGGGGTGGAGCTGTAGGAAGGGGAGCGGCCCACCGAGCGGGCCGGGGAGTGGCTGGAGCTGGGGCTGAAGGTCTGGTAGTACTGCTCAGGGGTCCTGACGGCCGTGTCCGGCTGGCAGTAGCCCTGGCCTTGCTGTCCGTAGTGTTGGTATTTGGCGAGGTTTTGGTAATGGAGGGTCTCCTGGGCGTGGTGCCGGCTCTGAAGCGCTTGCTGCTGTGGCTGGTCGTAGCCGAGGCGGCCCGACGGGTAGGCGTGAAGGTTCTGGACCCGCTGTCCCGGGGCCAGGCTGGCGTTGGCGGTCAGTGGCCTGTCGTGGGGCTGGGCAGACGGTGCTGCTGTGCAACTCTTATAGGAGTGGGCCCCCTGTCCGCTGCCCTGGACGGACGAGGAGTAGGTGGACGAGGTGGGGAAGGACTGGGAGTGCTGGGGGAAGTGACCCCCCTGGGGAAAGGGCAGGGCCGAGGCGAGGTCATTCTGCAGTTTCTGCCTTTGGAGTTTGGGGTACGCCAGGGGCTGCTGGGGCTGGGGCAGCTGTGGCGGCGGGGGCTGTTGGACAGGCAGGGAGTGAGTCCGGAAGGGAAGCTGGGCACCCTGCTCTGGGTACTGCCTGCCGGGGGGCACGGCCGTCTTTTTGAGTAAGTTCTCATCGTACTTGCCCACCCCTCCTGGCAGGGGCTGTGGCTGGGGGGGTGGCGGCTGGGGGGCCCCCCAAGCCTGCAGGCCCTCCTCCCCAGAGTAGCGTCCCGGGTAGGGGTTGCTGTCCTGGAGGCCACCATAGCCGGGGAAAGACGGCCTCCCCTGCAGCGCCTGCTGGGAGGGCAGGGCCTTGCTACCTCGGTGGTACTTCTCGGCGGCCACCGCGGCCGCCGTGCTGGAGGGGGTGCTGGCGCCACCCTCGTAGCCCGGGTAAGGCTGCGGGTTATAATAGTCCTTGGCGAGCAGCCGCTGCCTGTCACAACTCAGCCCGGCCTGACTCGGCTGCCTGTAATTCTCCAGGCGAGTCGCTTCCTGCGAGGTCTGTGGGTAGCTCTGCTGTTTGCCATGGAAACCACACCTTTCTCGAAAAGACTGCATGACGCGGGCTGGCGATCTGTGGAAGAGAAAAGGGAGACAGGGAGGGGAGGGGTGGGGGGCAAGAGGGAGAGCGATTCAGATGGGCCACCACGTCCTTGTCCCTTGTCCCCCTCAGCCACCTCCCCCCCCCCACCCTTGCCCTGCAGCCCTGCCTGGCCGGGAAGTCTGCCCACCAGCTGTGCACATATTGACAACTTCTGCATCCAGGAGGTGCGCTCCATAATCCCCACTTCCACAGGGCCAGCAGCCTTCCTCGTCACAGACGGGCCACCACGGGCGCAGGGCGCGGGAGGTGCAAAACGGGGCTGCCTGAGCCAAGTCACCCGGGCAGGGGAGCGGCTACTCCACCCTCCCCGGGGCTGGCTCCTCCCCTCCGCCCCCCCCCCCCCACCACCACTCCCAGCTCTTCCAAGACAGCTCAAAATCATTTAGCAGAGCAATTCCGGCTCCTCACGTCCCCTGGGGCCCTCTGGATCCTGTAATCTTAGTCCCTAGGTGGCTGTACTCAAGCGTGACCCAGCAGCCATGCTGGGGACCCATGAGGATCTGTCCTACCCCGCCAGGGAGAGGCCGCTTGCCAAAGGTGCACACGCGCGGGCACACACACACACACACACTCTCACACACACACCTCCCCTATCACTGCCATGCCATCTGGAATCTGTCTGTTCCCTCTAGCAGACATCAACTGCGGGGTTGGGGGGGGGGCTGCCGAGCCACTGTAGATGTAAAACGTCCCCTCCTCTGACTCCTAGGAACGTAGGACAGCCGCACCTGCCTCCTGTTTTGGATATTATAGGTGCATAAACAGATTACGTGATCCAGGGTAAGGGAGAGCATGCTGATGAGGGACAGGGAAGCTGAGCTGAGCCCCTTGGCACGGGGGTGATGGGACCTGGTCCTTCAATGGCAGGGCCCCCTCTCGGCTTCCCCAGGTCAGGTGGCACGGGGGAGCAGCCCATCTGGTTATGATTTTAGGGGCTGGGGCCCAGGCAGGGGTCTAACCTACCCTAGAGCAGGATCCTGGGTTAGAAAATGATCCTCAAAGAACCTTTGAGGGCAGAGCAACAGGATTCACAATATGGGCTAGACGTGGGCGTCTAGGGCTAAAGGTTCCCCGCAGTTGACCGGCAGGTCTGGTGGCCCCAGAAGGCCCTCAAAGCTGGGGGGGTGGGGGGAATGGAAAGGAGAAACGCTAGCCACAAGCCCTGATCCCAAGGGTTGGGATTTACCCGGCACAATGATGGATGCAGGCCCAGAGTGGCCTCTGCCTGGCCTGGTGGCCCAGGCCCCCAGGAAGGGGACAGGGACTTTCCAGTTTTCCTTCCCACTAAACACTAAAAAAGAGGGGATGGCCTGCCTTGGGCTCCAAAGATTCCAGATCTGTTTTGAGGGATCAGAAAGGAATAAGGAAAGAGGTGGCCGGGCAAGAGGGACACGGAATAAACAGATGTGAGAAGGGGGGAGCTACAGGGTGAGAGGAAAGAGGTAGAGAGATGCGCGGGGCGGGGGGGGGGCACTTTTCCAAAAGGGTGGTCCAGCCCCAACTCTTCTTGTATGGGATCTGGGGACTGACCCAAGAAAGGGGACAGAGGAGGACCTCCATCCAGCTGAGAAGGCCACCAGACAGCCCCCCAGGAGCCCACTGGCACAATCTCAGGTCCATCTATCCCAGGGGCTTGGCCCAAAGCACCTCCTATATGTGGCTGCACTCAAGTGTGACCCAGCCATGCTGGGGGACCCATGAGGATCTGTCCTACCCCGCCAGAGTCAGACGGCCGGTCTCAGCTGCACACAGGGGGGGCCAGCATTCCCAAGAGAGCCCCTCCCTACCAAAGCCCCCTTGCCCTCTACTCCCCCACTCCCTGGAGTCACCACAGGTATGGAGCAAGGAGCTGTGTGCCCGCCCTGCTGACCCACTTCAGGCCCAGCCGAGGCGGCTTGGATAAAACACTCCAGGACGTGCCAACCCAGAGGAACTGGAGGAGGCTCTTGGCTTGGTGGCTCCCAGCCAGGTGGGCAGTCCTGTGCCTCCTACCCGGATCTCTGCAGAGAAGGGCGTAGCCACACTGCCACAGGGCTGCCCAGGGTGGAAGGGGGGGGTCAGCGGGCACCTTCCCGCACTGTCCATGCCCTAGGCCTGCAGGTGGCCGGCTCTGCTCAGGGTCTGGCTGCGGGGGTTCCTTCTGAGGAAGGCCAGCCCCGAGGCCAAGGGCATGCCGGCTCCCTGCCCGCCACGGGCACATGTTTATGAGCCCAGAATGCACAAACCCAGGACCGATTTGAAGGCTGCACCTCCCTCGTATATCTGCACAAATTACATTTCGGCTTTTATTAGTCCCAGATCACTCTCATTTCCTGCTGAGTTGTCCTGTGGATATCATTAACATTTCTACGGCTTTATTTTTTATTTTTTTTTTCTCCCTTTCACATTCTCCAAAACGCCTTACCAGAAACATTATTTAAAAAGGGGTGGGGGTGGGGGTGGGGGTGAGGGGTGGGCGTGGGGTGGGACGTGCCATTAGCTGTGTCCCCTCCCCAGCCTTCTCTGTCCACAGCTACCCCTCCCCGTTTAATCAGTCCAGCTGCTGCATCTTTTAATTTAGCCAAGCTGGATTACAGGCGGGTTTCCCAATGCACCCGAGCAGCTGGATTGTGGCGAAACATCTATCTCTAAGAAGAGACAGTTCAATTAAAATAGGAGAGGCCCAGTGCCTGATGGAAGATGCAACCCAAATGCTCGCCCAACACCTCCCTCCAGCCCCGGATCGGAGGAAGGGAGGTAGGAACAAAGGCCTCCTGGCCTCCCGACCGCCTCTCAGAGCCCTGAGAGGTCCTGACGACCTCCGTCAGGAGAAAATGGGGGCACTGCCTCTTTAAGAGCTGCCTTGGGCCTGCTCTGGGCTCTGTTGTTATTAATTATTGGGATTATGATTACTTTTCAAGAGCACTAGGAAAGGACACCAGGGGGACAGACCGTGGCTTGGGCAAGAGGGAGAAAGGGTCACACACACACACATACACAAGTCCTGGTCCAAAGCACCCCTGCCCTGTGGTCCCCTCCCCGCCCTGGCCTCTTCGCCACCTCTCTACGGTTCTTTTTTATTTTTTAATTTAATTTTTTTATTTTCATTTGTTACATAGGACAGCAGAGTGCATGACAGTTCGTATCACACACACACACACACACACACCCAGAGAGCACAACTTTTCACATCTCTGGTGGTAGACACAGTACAGTCACAGCATTCCCGTCTTCTCCAGTTCTTGCTGAGCTTGGAAGTCAGGCGGAGAGCAAGTCCCGAATACCTCTCACCACGAGACTCCTGAGCTCCTCATCCTTACAACCGCCTCGGAAGCGGGGCCTGCTGGGCTTGATGGGGCGGAAGCACAAGACCCCACAGCCCAGAACTGCGCCCAGGGCTCCAGCCCTCGAATGCAGTGTCCCAGGACTTCCCTCCTGCCCAGCAGCAGATCTCACCCCTTGAGAAAGCCATCTAGGCAACCATGAAATAGTGTCTGGAGGATGAGACTCACCTCAGACTTCCTCTGGGGTGAGACTAGCAGTCCTCAAAGGCCCTCCTGGCAACAGGGGAAGCCAGGGACATGGCCCTCCCCTCAGAGACCCTGGGACCTCAGCGGGGACCTCTGATAGCTGCAGAGTGACTCCTCTGCACAGGTTCCCCTCCCCCACGCTTTGGTTGTTCTCTCTTTTACAGAAAAACACGAGCTTCAGAGGGGCAAGTGACCTGCTTAGGACCTGACCCCAGTGATGCAGCAGTAGTGACCAGGCCCCTCGCCTGGACCCCACACCAAGAATTCCCATTTTGGAGCTGGGTGAAGTGGAGGGAAGGGCACACCTCAGCCTACCTGGCCCTCATCTTCCAGCAGCCAGAGGGAGGTCCACTAATGGGCAGTCATGGCCACTGACCACCTGCTGCACCATAGCAACCACTGTCCTCTGGGCAGCTGTACTAAGGGAGTCACTGGGTCCATAGCCTCTGAAGACTCCGGGGTTGGATCCCTGTCCAGGAAATGGGCACAGTGTGGGTCAGAGCTGTGGCACAGGAGGAGCCCGGTCAGGAGGGGACAGAAGAAAGTTTTCCCTGAGAGAAAGGAGGCCCTCTCCTCCCAGCAGCGGCTCTGAGATGCTGGCTCCACCCCCCCCCCCAGCTTACCCACGGTCCACCCCCCCCCAGCTTACCCATGGTCATTTTATGACCTGGTTTTCTGACTTGCAGCTGCAGGGAAAAAAACATTTAAAACCCAACCCACTCAAGGGCCTGAGAACCCAAGGAGAAAGGGGAATCTCTGGGGCTTCAGGAGGCCAGGGAGGGACTGAGGGGGTGTCCAGGGAGGGGTGGGGCAGGTGGAACCCCCTGGGGTCTCCCCATCTGTTGTGGGTGATGAGTAATATAAGACGGGACACCCGGATGGACATGATAAATCATTAGCCAGATTGGCTGCTGTCCTGGGGTAGGGGTCTATGCCGAGTCCCAAGGGCCTGGCTTCACTCAAGAGCTGACAGTGGGTGCCCCAGAGGTGTCTCGGACAGGTGAGGGCGGCTGGGCAAGGGGGACCGTCCTGGAACATAAGCCACCCGAGGACAAGACATCCCCCTCCCTAAAGCATGACCCCTCCAGGTGGGCAACACTTGGGCATGACATAACCCCTTCCTTCATTTAAGGTCCCCTGGCTCATGGGAAAACCCCACAGGGCCCTAGCATGCCTCTGTCTGCAGAGCCTGGGGGTCCTGAGCAGCAAGAGGCAAATGACACAGGGACAAGAAGAAGACAGCCCTCTCCAGAGCTCACGGTGGCAGCTGGGCTCCTGAGCTGAGCTGAGGGACCCCTGGCAAATGTGAGGGCTCAGAACTCTCCGGAGGAATTTTTCCAAGGGGAAGACTTCTGGCCTCTCCAGGTGTGTCTGGGACGCCCCCTGCCCCCATCTCCACAGCTCACCAACACTGTCCCTCTAAGGACCCAGCTCAGCAGCGGCTGAGATCTACCAAGACAT